AGCAGACCCCGCATCAACAGTAGACACAGGCAGGAAACAACCTTCAGGAAAAGTTCTATCAGCAGAGTGCAACCAAGCTAGGGTTTAGGGTTTTAGCTTTAAGCGTCACCCTTAAGTTAAACTGCTCCCAAGGAGTCCAGCAGCAGAGTAAAGGAATCTGACCCACCCACTGTCATAGAAAGGAACAGCCAGAAAGGAGACCTGATATTTCCAGTAAAGTCAAGCAGCAGCTACAAGAACAGGCTAACTTAGGCAGGGGTGAAGATCGGTACATCCTCCTTCAAGGAAGTAATCAATGCCGCCTTCGGGGCCTCCACACCATAAGGGGGAGGAGCGTGGGTGATTAACCTTTGTCCTATCTTGGACTTGCCGGGGGAATAGGAACCGGACTGATGCTCCCCAGAATGGAAAAGGAGCCAGGACCATAAGGATCTGTTCATAAAAAAAAGAAGGACAAAGCAAAAAGGAGTTTAGGCGCGTATTGGAAGAGAACTACCTAGCAACGGGCAAGGTGGCGGAAATCCCGAGGACAGAGCACATTCTGCGAAGAAGGGGTACAGGTAGACCAATCGCAAACACTTTCAGCAAACAATACCCCTGAATCTTTCAATATCAACATGGAAACGTCCTGAGGCAGGGGGATAATGCAGAGATAGGGGAAGGCGGGAAGGAGAATCCAACAGAAGATAGTAGCAGAAGAGGAAGAGGAAGAAAGTTCAGTACGCAATGTGCAGAGCTACGCCAAGGTTTAGGGCCAAGATGTTCTACAGAAGATTGTAGCAGAAGAGGAAGGGGAAGAAAGTTCAGGAAGCAATGTGCAGATATACTCCAGGTTTTAGGGCGAAGATGTTCTCAAGGGCAAGAGTTAACCCAGGGTTAAGGGTTTTAGCAGAGTCTGCAGCGACCAGCCCGAGTACATTGCCCCCGGATTTGCTCGCATATCAATAAGGCTCATCTGCAGAAGATAGATGGATAGCAGATTCGCTCCTACGAAAACCAGAAAAACAGGACAGCAAGCCAGGCCGTACATGGGATGCACCGGAGTCTCAAAGAAGGAAACTCCGGAGGGACATGCCACTGGGAGAAAAAGACAGCCAGGAGTAAAGGATAGCAACACATAGCGCTCTTGAATCCCACGCACATCCGACAGCCATGTACCAGAGAGGAGGAGCAAGCTAGAGACAGACGGCATAGGTAGGGTCCCGTACAGTAAACAGCAGATCCAAAGACCAGGGCAGATACCAGCTCGAAAGGCACAACAATGAGGCTAACTAAGGAAGGGGCGAGGGGTGGTACATCCTTCCCTCGGTGGGAAGTAATGAATGGCCCTAATCTTGCACTTGGGCCTCTCAACCATAATGGGTAGGACCATGTGAGAGTAACTGTTGTACTTCTTTCGACTTGCAGGTGGAATGGGTACCGGACTGATGCTCCCCAGAATGCCAAAAAAAAAAAAGAGCCAAATTTGCTGCAAAACCATAAGGTGAAGGTTGAAGGTTCTGTTTTTTTTTTTTTTTTTTTTTTTTTTTTTTAGTACCTTTGGCACGTGGGAAAATAGCGGGCCTCCGGTGGGCCTCCGACCTTTTCCAAGGACGAAACGAGACGACGGCCGCCGATCGGATTTATCGATGGCAGCCGTCGTCGGGCCCGGCCTCCGAAACTTTAGGAGTTTGGGAAAATGTCCACTTTTCCCTATTTTCCCATGCGCCAAACGTACTAGTGGTTTAAGGACAGGGAGGGTCCTGGATGGGAAAACAGCAGACATATGTGCAGCCTCAAAACTTCAAACTGGAACTTTCTGCATAAGGTTGGAAAGCGAAGGGCACTGATGCATAAGGTTGGAAAGCAAAGGGCACTGATGCATAAGGTTGGAAAGCAAAGGGCACTGATGCATAAGGTTGGAAAGCAAAGGGAACTGATGCATAAGGTTGGAAAGCAAAGGGCACTGAATCCACTGATGCATACTCTCGCAGCCTGCCAGGAGGAGATGCTTTTCACCAGCTTGCACCCTTCTTGTTATTCTTGTTAACAAAAGGAGGATGGAGATGCATGCATGTAGCAGCAGGACACTATGCTGCCTGAAGTCCATGCGATAGTTCTGCATGCCTGTCAAGGGTGAAACCTTGCATTGAGAACCCAGGGTGGTGGGGGGGATTCTCAGATTCTTCGGAATTTCTTCCTGATCACACACATATCACTTCTCACCATTGCGTGAACGGTTGAACCCCTTCGCGTGGAAAGGAAACGGAAGAGGGAAAAAAAAAAAAAAAAAAAAAAAAAAAAAAAAAAGAGCAGCAAAGAGGTTTGAAAACCTGCAAAATAATTGAACGCACAGAGAGGCGTTTTGCCGGCGACGGTTGGGGAAGGGGTAGTAGTGTCCTTTCTGACCTCTGTCAAACGGTACATGTCCCTCAAAACTTCATTCGATCGCTCCAACAATGGCCTGCCACTAAGGCCAGCATGCACCTGTGTACCGGGCAATCCTTCCATCGCCTTCGGCCGTTTAATCGTTGTATTGCTTACAATCTGCATCAGATCATCACGAAGATTAAAGAGAGAACGCACATCTGAGTGTGTAACAGAAAATGGGGAATGAGGGCCTGGGTGGGTTTGGGGGGCGAGGTGGGAGGGGGGAGGCGTGGTGCACGAAGAATGGGGCAGAAAAGATTTGTCGAAATTGTGCATTCCCAAACGATAGTGCACACCCTTGTTTCGCAAGGAACCAAAATTTGCAGCATGTTTGATAAGAACCATGGGAGTTTCGCTTTTTGGAAAATCCAGACATGAATGTAGTCAGTCTGACCTTGCTGACCATGCTCAGAGGGGCAGGATATAGAGCATCTCTTCTGTCCGTCCACGTGCAGCTGGGAATTGCCCCCTGGGCCCTTGCTTATATTGTACGTCTGAATTTCCTTCTCCACTGGCCTTTCTGAGCCAGCTTGTGTTTTCTTTTTTTTTTGCTTGTTAGTATTGTTACATAGAAAAAAGGAGGATATTGTCTGAATTTTAGCTACTTGATATGCACCTGTGCTGGGCGATGTGCAAAAAAATCGCACAGTGCGCTAAAAAATAGTAAAACTAATTTAAAATTTAAAATATCAAATGATAAGTAATAAGAAACTTCTGCTTATTGTTATGAACTTGGTTGTTTGACAATTTGCTTGCCACTCACACACAGAAATACTCACACACGCCCATACATGCATGAGATACAGGGGAGGAAGAGAGAGTTCACCTGCACATAGACCAGAGATAAACAGCAGAATAGCAACCATGCACAGATGGGGAGAATACACACCGTGTTCTCTCTCTCTGATAAACTCCCAACAACCAATCACAGAATGACACTGCGAAGATCACAATTAGAAAGTAACCCAGATGATAAGCCAACTCAACTTAAGTAACCCCARTTATCRTTCCAGAGTTTAACCCAGTGTCTCGCCACACAACAACCACACACTCCACTCACTACCACCCTCTCARAGTCTAGCKCTGCATTGAAACAGCCTCCCAGAGGCCAGCGCCAAACACCCAGATGCAGATCATGAATMGCGAAGTAGTTCTCAGTGCCGATGAGTCACTMTGACGATGAAGAAGGCAGCTATGGCTGCCTGGCTGCTACCGCAGCACTAGCACCCACATGTGCTCAGTGAAGAGCCCCGATATAGTCCTGCCAACGCAGATATCCCCAGGGGATAGATGCGCTGAGTACAGCCCCAGCTATGGCTGTCTCAGGTAGGCGGCTATGGCTGCTTCACGGCTGCTGAAACCTCAGGTGCCRCTGTAGGTCTTCAGCGCTGCTCACTTGGTTGGCCGCAAAAACCCTGCATGTGAAAATGACATGCCAAAAGTCCCCAATCGATTTTCCCCCAGGACTTATAGACTCTCTACTCTCGCCTAGACCTCGACCGGACTGACTGGACCTACCGGTACCGCTGCAGTTTCGGCCTCTTGGCCTCTACCGAACCCGGCTATAGGCTATAGGACCGTATGGCAGTAGAGGCCGCTTAGGGCCTGTCTGTCCTAGGGTAGCCCGGGCCTGCTATAGGCAGTTAGGGTAGCTGTAGCAACTCGGTTAGTACCAGGTCTGTATTTCTCAAAAATTACAGATCTGTCCCTCACGAATTTCCACACAGGCGGATCTCTCGGTTAGCCCTCAGCCAAACAAAATGGCAAAACTAACCCTACGGGTTAGTATACAGCCTCGCAGACAATCTCGGCAGCAGGAATCAGCAAGTCATTGCAGGCTTACCCTCCCCGGGAACGAGGACCTCCGAGCTAGGGGTGCAGACGAGGCGAACGGCGAAGGTTACCCTTCTGAGCCGCCTCATAATGCTGTACAACAGACTTTGTTGTCTTGATCAGGTCTCTTCTGTAGAACCATCGGTTCTCAGAAGGGGGCTGGAACGCAAACCTGACAAGATACTGCCGGTCGTGGCCAGTGCCCCACTCATCCTCAATGGCCACCACATCATATCCCTTACCAGGGATTGGTGGGCCCCATTGAGGATGACGTACGACGGACCGAAGGGATCAGCGCCCACTGGGGAGGCCGGCATTGGTGGGCCCCATTGAGGAGGCCGGTCAGGGAATGCATGGAAGACCGGATAGGTTCCTAGATGCAACGGGACGTCGATGACGTACGACGGACTGAAGGGATCAGCGCCCACTGTATCTAGGACCTGCCATGGACCCAAGTAGCGCGGCAACAGCTTAGGAGAAATATCCTCCTCCCTTGACAACTCAGAACTGGCCACCCAGACATAGTCACCAGTACGGATGGGGGAAGGTCGTCTGTGGCGGTTAGCTTGTTCAATCATGGCCTTTTGGGCCTTGAACAAGTTCGCCCGGGCTCTTTCCACATCCAGACGATAGCGTCTGGCGAACTCACTGGGGTAAGGTCAGGCTTAGCCTTGTCGATAATATCATCGAGAGGCTGTCGTGGCTCACGTCCCCAGTGTTTCAGGGCACTGACAAGAGCACAAAGCTCTTTTTCGTAGGTGGAGTCCTGCAGCTTTTGAGTCTTGATCTTCTTACTCATAAACTCTACAGGTCTCAGACCATTCCCATCATCCTGCTGAAGGACTGCCCCAATGCCGTACTGGCTAGCATCAGTAGTCAGCACAAAAGGCAGAGTGGGGTCAGGCAACTTCAGAACAGGCGCACGAGTCAAGGCCTGTTTGAGTCGTGCAAAGGCCATCTGACAGTGAAGAGACCAAAGAAAGGGAGTGTCTTTCTTTGTAAGGTTAGTCAGGGGTGCAGCCACTGCAGAAAAGTTCCTGACGGACTTTCTGTAGTAGGAGGCCAGACCCAAGAAAGACCGAACATCTCTCACTATCTGGGGTTGTGGCCAGTCCTGAATAGCAATAATTTTGGCTGCTTTAGGGGCCAGTCCATCTCCAGAGATTACATGACCCAGATAGATAACAGAGGGAACTCCAAAAGAGGACTTCTCCCTGTTGATCTTATACTGACTGTCACGTAACGACTGAAGGACCAGAGCCAAGTGCTCCGCATGTTCCCTGGTAGTTTTGCTGAATATCAGGATATCATCCAGGTAGACAACCATAAACTTATCTAGGTACGGCCTGAATATGCGGTGCATCTCAGTCTGGAATGTGCCAGGTGCATTGCAAAGTCCAAATGGCATCACCAGGTACTCATAAGTACCATACTTGGTTTTGAAGGTCGTCTTGTGAACGTCCTCTTCTGCCATCTCAATCTGGTGATAGCCAGATTTGAGGTCGACTTTGCTGAAGATGGTACAGCCCTGGACCATATCCAGAAGGTCATCGATCCTAGGAAGTGGCTTTGTGCTCTTCCTAGTGATCTTGTTGAGACCCCTGTAGTCTATGCACATTCTGAACTCACCACTCCCCTTTGGAACAAAGAGGACTAGAGAACCGAATTCAGAAGTGCTGGGCCTGATCCAGCCCTTGCTGGTCAGGGTCTCAAGCTGTCGCCTGAGCTCCTCAAGCTCAGCCGGTGACATCCTGTAGATGCGTCCCTTAGGAGGGACCGCTCCAGGCAACAACTCAATGTGATGCTTGGTTGGCCGGTTGGGTAGTCCAAAGGGCTCCTGCATCAGATCAGCATACTGATCCACAACCTGTTGTATCTCAGGAGGACAGGGAGTAGGGGGAGCGTCTGTTTGCTTGACCAGAGCTATAAACAGACGCTCATGGTCATACTGGCGAGAGAGAGCATAAAACTCTCTCACTCTCAAGCAGAAGCAGGATGTCTTAGGGTGGTGATCAGCTGCAATCATACAAGGCTGATACACCCCCTTGCTGTTTGGCAGTTCAACCTTGGGGATCTGCCAGTTGATCCGTGGGTTGACTGCTCTCAAGCCACTGCATAGAGAAAACCAGATCAAAGGGTAGATCAGGGAAGATGTAGAAGTTCAGACTATGTCTGACTTCTCCAGCGCTGTCGAAGGTGACAGGGATACCCCTGACCTTCTCCCTGATGGTCAGAACAGTGGAGTCACCTATCCTGATCTGCAGCGGTTGCTGCAGTTGTACCACTTTCATGCCCAGATGCAGTTTTTTGACTGCACTGGGAGACATGAAATTTCGGGTGGCTCCACAGTCTAATAACCCCTTGATCCTGGTGTGGTTGATCAGGGGCCGAAGCAGGACGAGTTCAGACTTGTTCTGCTTTCGTTCCTTCAGATGAAAGAAAAAAGCAGCAAGAGCCTGCGACTCAGATTGGTCCGGTTCCTGATCCGGGTCAGGATCCTCATATGTGAAGGATGCTGCCCGTGCAGTTCCCATACTGGATGGGAAGGAAGATGTCTCAACTGAAGTTGCTGCAGCTGCAGACGCAGTTGCAGCACTGGAGGGAACTGCTGTCTCCAGGTTCAGCTTCAGTTTTTTAACTGAGTTGGGTTGGGCATATAAGGACAGTCCTTGAGAAAGTGCTGCCCTTCACACCTCAAGCAGACTCCCCTTTCCTTCCTCTTCCTCCATACCCCTTCCTGGATCTTCAAATCATGCCAGGGAAGGGTGTTGGGATCGAGGGGGTCTGCTGGGAAATGGACGTCCCGTGGCAGATTTGGGCGCCGGACAGGGGTTGAAGAGCGACGTCCCTGGCTCTTCCCCTTGCTGCTTGAGGATGTGCTGGAGGCAGACCTGGCCTTTTGGAAGGCCCCCAGCGCAGCCTGCAGCTGCTGGACAACTGCTGCAACATCTGGAACAGCAGCTGAAACAGTCCCAGCAGGCGGTGTACCAGGCTGGGATCCTGTCTCAGAGGCTGATCCAGACCTCGCATAAGCAAAGGCCGCCTTTCCCTTTCTACCACCGCGAGGGAAGGCGCCTCTCCTTCTGTCACTGGAGGGGGCCTGGACATGAAGCTTGGCTTCCATATCCAAACAATCACTAGTCCTTGTGCCCGACGCTGTACAATGCAACACAAAACTTTTCAGGCACAACCCTGCAAAAGTTAGTCAACAAGTCATCTGCTGACATAACCAGTCCAGGGGTGGAAGTCAGCTGCTCAAATTCAGCAAAGGCCTGCAGACTGCC